CCCGCTGCTCCCCTCAGCAATGTACTTCTCAGTCGGCCTGTTCTGCTCCCTGCTCTGTCTCTGGTGAACCCTCTCACCGCCCCTGCACCTCTGGCTTGTATTCCGGTTCTGTGAGCATAAATAAATAAATCTTAAAAAAAAAAAAAAAAAGTCACCTTCACCTTCTCGATTCCTCATAAGTATTGTTCTGGCTCATGCATGTTTTCAGACCCTGTCCTGAGGTGCAAGAAGCAGTGTGTGTCTGCAGAAGTGTGTGTCTGCAGAAGTGACAGGCAAGCCAGGCATCACTTGCAAACAAGCGCGAGCATTGTCACGAGACTGCTGCTACTGAGGGCAGAAGCTGAGCTGCCAAAGGCTTTGGAGAGGCAAAGCCAAGCTGAGTCTTACCAGAGAGAACGTGGGGCCGCGCACATGCAAAGGCAAAGGAACCCCCCACCACTGGTGGGCAAGAGCAGCCCAGAGGCCCAGGACAGGCAGCAGAGCTCGGCTATCCTGAAGGCAATGCCTCTCCACGCAGAACTCCCAGGGCCTGGTCAAAAAACAAATGCCTGATGGTCTTATAAAGAAAGTTCTAGTGGTCAATTGGAAAACAGACTGGGCCTGGCCAGACAGGAAGATAACAGGTGATACAGACAAATGGACAAAGAGCAGACAAACTTATTTAACAGCAATTTAGGAGCTGCATTTAGTCATCACCTGAAGGCAGGAGAGGTAAAAGGATCCTCCACCTCATACCTGGATTAATTCCCCACCATTATGAGTCCTGTACCCCAAAAGAGAAGGCAGCATTCATACTCCAAGCCACCCCTCCAGCCAGAACACACAGGCAAGCAGGCCCCACTCAATCAGCTACAGCCACACCAGATTCCCATTTCCAAGTCAGAACACCATGTGGAACCAAGAATAATTCAAGGAATTAGAATTCAAAGGTCAAGATAAACAAACAAAAAAACCTAGATGGAGCCGAAAAGATAAAGAAAAGGTCTATGGGTCTGAAAAGGGACTACACCTGAGAGGAGGAAGCATGCACTGTCTAAAAGGAAGGAGGATGTGAAATACAGGGGAAAAAAGACCTATCAAAGCCAGCGTGCTGAGGTTCTGTCTGGATGGACAGGAAGTGACAGGCCTCTCCCTTAACCTCACTGGTGTCAAGCCGCTGTGGAAGAGGGCACTTACCAGAAGGCAGAATTAATTCCATGGTTTCATCATCATACTCCAAGCCCTTTTCTGATGACAATTCCTCAGTCTCATCAGGGTCCTCACCTTCCTTGTGGTCTGGGTAGCTACTCCTGGAGCGACGAAAGAGCATTAACAAACAGGAAAACACCTCAAATTTAACTGAAACACAAAAATCATGCTTCCAAATGTGGAGGGGGAGAACAGCGTGGAGATTACAAACTGGAAGTTTTAGAGAGAAAACGACCTGGTTGCATTTTCTCTGTATGAAAGTGTATACAAGCGGTCTATGAATCGCAGGTGTAACTGTAAAACAAAGCTGCAGAAACTCTGAGAAGGTAACAGGAAAAAAACCAGATCACTCAGGGTTGGATCAACAGATGAGTTTTTGCCATGACCCATGAGAGAAATAACCAATAAACCAGAGGTCGTTAAGATTAAGAACTTCTGCTCTGTGGAAAAAA